GCTGCACGCCGAGGGCCCCCACGGGGGTCCCCACGCCCACACGCGCTCCGGGTGCCCCAAGGGGCCCCTTGCCCCTCTGCTGTGCCTCCCCGACTCCGGTCGCCTCAGGCCCCTGCCCGCTGGCGTGGCTCCACGCCCTGGCGCTTCTGTTCCCTGCTGGGGCCGGTGGACAGCCCGCCCCTCCCTGGGTGGCGCCGGCCGTGTCCGGCCCACGCCGCCCACGCCGCCCACCAGGCGCGGCCTGGGATCTCGCCGGCTCAGGCAGCAAGTCCAGTGTGCTCACTGCCCCTGAGACCGGAGAGCAAACACCGCCGAGACAGTGGAGGGGTGTCTCGCCGGCCCCCGCCTCGGCCCCCCCACGCTTCCTGGGCTCTGCCAGGCTCACGGAAACAGGTGCGTTGCCGTGGCAGCGGGCCGCCCCTGAGCCCGAGGGCTGAGTCCTCGGCCCCTCATTAGTGCGGGGTGGCGCCGAATACTGTAGGTTCGGGCCTCCCCACGCTTCAGAGAGAAGCTGCCGGCTCACGTAACAGGGTTCCAGGCCCACGTCCGAGGCGCGGCCCTCCCCGCTCAGGCAGGCGGCAAGCACAGCCGGTCGCCTTCAAGGCGGCACCCGGGACGCCGCCAGCTTCCCTCCCGCCCCGCAGGCCGTCGGGGCTAAGGTGCTAGACTGTTCCGTCAGGTGCTTCCCGCCGCTCTCCTTCCCAGGCCCGAGCTCCAGAGCCTCTGGAGCAGAAGTGTCAGTCACGCGCCTGCCCCGCGCTGGGAAATCCAGGGGGCCTGGGCCACTCTTACGCCGGGGCCGAGGGCCCGGCACGCTGCCCAGCGCTGGAGAGGGGACTTCCGTGTCTCCAACGCCTCTGCAGAGGCGAACTCAGCTTCCCTCTCTCCCTTCCCGCCAGCTTGAACCCAAACGCCTGAAGAAGCAGCTCCCCAAGGTCCTGAAGCTCCTGAGGCCAGACGACAGGATCCTGATCGTGGGCACCACGCGGCGTCCCTTCGACGCCGAGCTGCAGTCTTTTTGCAAGTTTTACCAAAAAATCATCTTGGTGCCCAGACCAGACTACGCGTCCAGATACGGCAAGTGCCCAGGCCAGCCCTTCCCGTGTGGTGACTGAGGGGGCCCAGCCAGGCGGGGCGTGCAGGCGGGGGCGGCGCGGCAGAGCGGTGGGAGAGCTGGGCCGTGGCAGGCGGAGCCGTGGCAGGCGGAGCCGTGGCAGGCGGCTGGCGAGTGGGCCTCCCACCCACCCCTTGGCACCAGGGAGGTAAGCGGAGCATGACGCTGCCAGCCGTGGGCACCTGAGCACCGGGGCTGAGCAAACCAGGGGGCCGCGGGGGAGACCAGGCGTCCGGCGTCCTCCACTGTTTCTAGCCCAGGCAGGAGGGGCTGGAGGGGTGATTCTGGCCCAGGAGCTGGCAAAAGCCTGTGGGTGCTGATTTCGGCCGCGGTGGTACGTGATCCGTGGTGTCTTCCCGCCGGGCACCACTTCTTTGCTCGGGGCTGAATTTTTCTTGTCCCGGTCTCAGCGCTCGCCAGCATCAGTGACTGACTCAAAGGACGCAAGAACGTAGCTGTGCCAGGTCTTCTTGTTGAATCGATTCAAAACCTACTTGAAACCCAGTTTTAAGCAGGCACGGCCAGCAGGGCTCCCGCGAGGCGGGCGGTGGGGCCAGGGCCCGGCCG